TTGCAAATACACATCCCTAAGCGGCATTCTTGCAAATTTACACATCAAAAGTAGCATTTTTGCAATTGCTCCTTATTTCACATGATCAAACCAACAAGACCAATATAAGCGAAAATTTATAGAATAAGTAAAGTAAGCGTACAAAGTTCGTCCAATTCAGTAACCATTGTCGATCCAAAGGAAGATGAAAAAAAAGACCGTGACATATCCGTTTCCTTCTTTTGTGGCTGCTCCTCATTAATATCCAAACTTGTGTTTTTTCGTTTCTGCTCCTTTTTCAACATTGCATTATCAGCATTGCATTACTTATAATATCAACATTGCATTATCAACATTGCAATATCAACATTGCATTATCAACACTGCATTGGTTAATAATATTATCAATATTTAATTATCAACATATCAACATTGCATTATTAACAATGTATTATCAAACCATTGAATTATCAACATTTCAACATTTCAAACATTGTATAATCAACATTGCATTATTAACATTGTATTATCAACATTGCATTATCAATATTGCATTATCAATATTGCATTATCAAACATTGTATTATCAAACATTGTTTTATCAACATTGTATTATCAACATTGCATTATCAACATTGCATTATTAATATTGTATTATCAACATTGCATTATCAACATTGCAAACTTATCAACATTTTAACATTGCATTGGTCTCACGTTGACACATTAGCCTCATGGCTCGGATGAGCTCACCTCACTGATGACGATGTACTAGCGCACCACTTCCATTCGAAAAACACACAGCATAAAAAAATCAGAGAAAAGTTAATCATATCGTTTCATTCCATTAAATTCAAAAGAAAAAATGTTATAAATACTACCATGTTCCTCTTGATCTCTCAATGCTCCCATGATTGTTTTCCAATCCACATTGCGCATGAAATCTGAGATGTTCATTTTAAATTTGCTCCTGAAAGAAGCATATAAAGTAGGCTCCAGAACCCCAACCACATAAACCTCACATCCATGGAGAATCAAAATATGCGAAGAGGATTATTCATCAATCATCTTTTGTAATATATCGCTAGACAGATTTGTGAGAACGACCATCACTTCTTCTTCGTTTTCTTGGTTAGCTAAATAGCGAAGTTTCTGCAAAAAATAAAGACATTGGTTAAATCACGAAATTGACAAGTATTCAACAAAGAAGACGTGACATTCACCTTTATAAGCTCTATTCTTAGCTTCGTTAATTTTCCCTCTCTTTCCGATTGTGACGGGCCACCTGTTGCCTCTTCTGGTTTTTTTTTCTTATCCATTGAAACCTAAAATCGAAATTGGTTCTGCACCCAAATCTTCCACTGCAACTACTTTCTAAGCAAGAGATGGAGTTTTCGTTAACGTTGAAATCCAAAACTAGAAATCAAAACTCTTGCTTCAGCAGATAGCAGTAGATCGAGAGCTGAAATTTGCAAGCAGAGGGTGCTTTCGAACCCTAAAAGCGGAGAGTGCGGAAATGGCTACGCACTCAAATCTCTCGTTGAAGCTACTCTCTAAGTGTGTTTCTTCGAAAGGGGACAAAGATCATAATACTCTAAAGAAGTCGTCTTGAGGTCTCTTCTTAATGGGCTGATTTGGATGGCCCAATTAATTTTCCAGAACAACACAAAACGTGAATTTGCATTTATGCTTACACCAATATTCGCCATTTTTATATTTCTCTATATTGTGTGGTCCAATTAATTTACCTGAAAATTTAAAATATATGAACAATAAACAATATTTTAGACAAACCTAAAAAATTATACTATGAAATAGTCATTGGATCAAAATGCTCCAAAATATTAGAGGCTTCACTATGGATGGACCATGAACGAGTTATTTACTCTCAGACACTAGCAGATTTTGCGTTGATGGATTGACTCAAGGTCAATGGAATTCTGAATGTGATGGACTTTTGGATAAGTAAGATTTCACAAGGTTGGATAACCATGGATCTTCGAACAAAAAAAAAGGATAACCATGGATCTAGATTAAGTTTAGTTCGGTGAACATCAAGTGTTGCGATGATTAGGAAATGACGGTTTACTTGAGCAACTTGACCAATTACTAATATTTGACTTTAGAAATATGTGATTAGAGAATTTTGGACTAGTATTGAGCTATCTGTAATAAGTTTTTGGTCTATTTAGAACATTGGAAAAGTTATGGGGCTAATGTAAAATCTTTATGAAACGTTGGGGACTTTACATGTCAAGATTATAAGGAAAGAATCATACTAGTAACTTCAATGGTGAAGTAAAATACTTGCAACGATAATATGATCCATATAAATCTACTTTATATAATCATTAGATTAGGATCCGCGATGATATGCAGGTAAATAAATTAAAAATTATTGATGTAAATATTTAAGTTTTAGTTAGTAATCTACTGAATTACAAACATATTATGAAATATTGTTTAAACATAAGTTTTTAATTATTAGAGGTCAGTTTATATCTTAATTCTCATGTCACAATTCATAACATGCAGATCATATAAATAAATAAGTAAACAAAATATTCTTACCAGTTATAAATATATATCAATTATTTAATAAATCACAAAAACAATTCAAATATTATAGAGTTAAATAAAATAAATCATGTAAATAATCTCATAAAAACTTATATAATATTTTATAAATGAATTTATCAAGCATCACATATCCATCATTGATAAATGTATACCACTAATGTTATTGGTGTATTTCTCATAGAGATCTATACTCGTCGAACCTTAAACACTTTTAGATTTTAATAGCAAATA